TCTTCCTCGTTGTCCTGTGTTCATCTAACAGAGTAATTACTGAATTTCAAGCACTACCATCATCGCAGAAGGATGTGCTTGAGAAGAAAAGTACTTCCCAATGTATTGCTCTCCGGTCTGGCACAAGGGTCACTGAAAAGAAATAAAGGATTTGTCTCCTGTTTGTGGTTTTGACCTTTAAAGATGCTTTTCAGATTTTTTGTCTCAGATTGTGTAGCTGAACATGTGTGAGAGGCAGCTGACAGCAGGAAGTCACAAGGGATGAGTTCTCTCAGTGGTTATCTTCCAAATACTGTTTTGTACAAGCTGCCTTAAAACCACCGATCTTCCCGAGTTGTGTGCTAGTTTGCTGAATGACATACTAAGACTTAACAAATTTGGCATTTATTTTCTCCCTATTTCAGTTTCCAGGAGTGTCTCACTGTGCTTCTAAATCCCACATCCTACAAAAGTAGGTACAAAAGTGCAGTGTTGTGAACCTTTCCCATGGTTTGTGGCTGCTATGTGGTTCACAAGGTAGCAAAGTGACCCTGTATTTCACTTGATGAGAATTGCTAATTGATGAGAGGGTGTTGGCCAAAGGTTCCCATAACAGAGCCCGTGAAGTGAGAGAAATAAGCATGGACTGTTGCTGCATTTTGATGCTCCTTGGAAGTAAGAACTGAATATCATGTATAAAAGTACTTTATAGGCGTTTATAAGCTCAGATGAGCTTTGAAAATTGAGGAAGCTGAAAGGTGCTTCCAGTAAGCCAAAGGGTGTACCTATACAGAGAGCTGCAAATAGACAAAGGATGCTCATCCCAAACTCTATGTTTGGTGGCTGCAAGCCAGCTGGGAGCAAGGGCAGATACAGCAATTGGAGCATAGTCCTTGGAGCTGGCTAACATGCCTTCTGCCCTGGGCAGTGCTTGTGCCAGTGGGTATTTGTTTCCTTTCATAAATTCCTCAGTTTCATTTGCCATCTCACAGCCACTGAAAGATAAATTTTCACCATTTGCTACTGTACTGCACATCCAAAGCCTTTCCATCCCCTTAGGACTTGTAGTAATTGTAGTTAAAATGTAAGTCAGACTTATTTAAGGCTGTGACAGACAGCAGAATTGCAAGAGCTCTTCCCTACTCATCCCTAGCACAATGAATATTGGTGTGGCTCACTAAACACACCTCAAAATATTTGATGATGGAAGGGTAGTATCCCTTCTTCACTGCTGTAGGAGGTTTGCTTATTGTAGAGTTTCCCACTTGCCAGATTATTTGTGTGTTGAATTCTGACTTGACGCAGAAGAACAACTGAAATCAGAGGCATAACAAAGGGAAGATTGGCTTGTATTTGTATTTATCCCTTGCTCCATTAGAAAAGTCAAGTTCTTTTCAGCATGACAGATTCCTTAAGAACTGATGTTTAGCCTTCTAGGGGCAAATATACACTTCAAAGTCGATTAACTGTAGTAAATTGTATCTGTTACCTGCAATTGTTTATTGTTTGCAATGAAGTTGAGCTCCAGAAAGAGAGCACGTAATTGTTACTCTTGCCTTTCTTCCCCAAAGCAAAAATAAACTTATGGCATCATAGTAAAACACTCTTCTAAATGAAGTTCCTTTGGCTTGATCTATGGAGTGCAACCAATTTTGTCTGTGGACAGATGCTCCAGTTTTGTAGGTATAGCAAAAGAAGCATTATCTGTGGAACAAGCAAACAAAACTGATCTTGTTTTGGGCCTTGTTTGGGAGGTTCTGGACTTGGGCTGTTGGCTGAGTTAAAACTTTTGTTGGCAGTAAGTCATTTCTGCACCCTTCTGCTGGAGGCTGTACTGCTGTTGGTTTATGTCTGTCAGATCAGGCTGAGTTCTCATTGCAGCCTTCTGGTACCTAAAGGGAGCCTACAAACAGGAGGGGAGTCAACTCTTTACAAGGGTAGATAATGGAAGGACAAGGGCTTAAGTTGAGGGAGGGAAGATTAAGGTTGGATGTCAGAGAGAAGTTCTTTACTATGAGAGTGGTGAGGTGTTGGAACAGGCTGCCCTGTAAGCAGGAGTAAATTTAGCATTCCTGACTCGGGTTTTTATTTTTATATACAAGATACCTAAGTTTAAAAAAAAAAAAAAAAAAAAAAAAGTAGGGAAATTTATTTTTCTCAATTGTTCTTGTTGCAATATATGAAAAATAAAAGGCTTTTCTTCAATTTATGCTACATCTTTGGTTATCAGCTGCAGTATTTCTGGTTTAAGCAGGCGTAATATTCTTCCTGCTGTTTATTGTACTTGTAAATGATGTAACAAATATTATGACATCATAATTTGATAATTTAAGATGGATTGAAGTTACATTCTTGCTGTTTACATGACTGCTCATACATGATCCATGATTCTTGCATACAGAAAGGGTTGTATTTAGTAAGCTATGTGACATAACAAGTGTCAGAACTCAGTGCTGGCTTTTTTCAGATGATCATAGTTATATCAGAATCATCAGATTATTACCGAATTTATAGAATTTTGTAATTGAAGAAGCCTTGCTCTTGTAAGACATAAGCATGGAAACAAGAAGTCCTGTTTGAGAAGTCAGACTGAAGTACACCTGGAGTTTAGCTGACATTGAGATAGGAAATCCAAAACCAGCCTCACCTCTAACAGCTGTGACAACTCATAAGTATCCCCAAAACAATCAGGGCCCATCTCATTTATACTATGGGTATCAGAGCAAAATTAATATTTTTATAATGGTGAAGTTAAAACTGGAGAACTGTGTGTCAGTTTTCATCACCGTGCACTGTTAAGAGTTATAAAGCCTGCATCATCTGTTTGCCTGCACCTTTGGCACAAACGTGAAAATGTACACCAAAAGACCTTTAAGCTTAGCTGCCATCTAGACTATGTTCTTTAAACTCACTTATGTAAGAGCTTATACTAACCGAATGTTGAAAAATGCCATTATTTTTAGGAGGGCGTGGGCTATAAAGTGCTCATAATTGAGTGTAATTTGATGTTTGCCGTAATTATTTATTTACTTATTGAGATTTAAATACATTTTGAAGATGATCCAAAGAGACATACCTTGAAACAAAGTCTATTCTCTTTTGGGAGTTTTGTGTTGTACTAGTAGTTAAGAGGAGCTGGGCAGCATAGTGGAGCATTCTACTTGTGGACTGAATTCAGCTTGCACTGAGACAGATGCAAATGTCTCTGCCTTTGTGACCTTTAATAAAAATAGAAGCCTTTTCCATTTCTTTGAGACACTTTCTAACTCCTAGTATTTCTCAGAAGCTCATTCTTTCACATCACTTCCCACTAACCTTTCTGTTCTAAGTTGCTAATATCTCCTCAATCTGATACTGAGGGACAAAGTGGGACCTTCTGGACTTCTCATTCTAATGGGCTGATCAAATTATTAGGATCATTAATATTTTCAGTGCACTTATGCAATGTTTATCCAGATGATCCTGGAGCAGCTCCAAAAGATTGACAAGGAAGCAAACTATTTAGTCTGTTTTTGGTAAGTTTCAGAACAGTGGTATATTTAAACAACTTATTTTCACTGAGATCATTTCTAAAGCTCACTGTTTGGAAGTGCAAAATATGTAACATCATAATCAGTGGATCTGCATTACTCTGGTATCTGTTTTTTATGGCCCATGTAGTATTTTGTTTTTTTTTTTTTTTTTTTCCTTTCTATTGAGAGACTTGAGACATTGGCAGTGGGAATTTTTCCGAGTATGTTAAAAACGTGAGTAATACTATCAAAAGGTGCTATTACACCTCCTTATCCAATAGAGGAATAACATCTCTGGAGCTCTGACATTGCTGTTTCATCGTTGATGTTTTGTTCTTCCAAACGATCAGAATATTAAAAGGATGTTTACCCCAAATCCAAATGGTGGGAAACATCCCCTTACACTGTTGTCTTGCAGGCTGGGCTGGGTGCAGCCCCTGGGGTGCTGTTAGTAGAAAAGCTTAATGTGAGCTGGCAGTGTGCTCTTGTGGCTTGGAAGGCCAAATGCATCCTGGACCGCATTAGAAGCGGGGTTTCCAGCAGGGCTGGGAGCGGATTGTCCCTCTCTGCCATTGTGAGGCTCCATTTGCAGTACTGCGTACAGGTCTGGAGCTGCTGGCACAAGGAAGATGTGAGCTGCTTGTGACTGTCTTTATCTTTGAGCTCACCTTATTTACAGCCAGATGCAGCGCTTGCGACTTTGTATTAAGTTGAGTAAATCCGTAAGACCCCGTGGAAAATTTAAAGCCACTGAACAAGCAAGAGCAAACTAAGGAGTAGCAGAGAGCCAAGATCTTGTTAATACTGATGTATGCAGATCTCTTCAGGGGAAAAATCCTGAAAAGAAGCAATGGCAGCTAACTGTCTCCGCACAGGAATCAAACCCTGAATGTACTTCATGAAAACTCCACTCTAGTGACATTGTGACATAGTGACATTGGTCACTATTGAGTATTACATTTTTAATGTTTACAACTGTAAATGCCACAACTTAGCTAAGTTAGCTGTGTATTAGCTAACTTAGCTAATAGCTAAGGACAAGTGGAATAATAAAAACCAAAACAGCTACACCAAAGATGTTTTTTATAAACACGCATGTTTTCTTTATCTGCTGTTCTGCCATTAGAGGAGTCTGATCCACCTCTTTCAATCTTAGACTGACTTCAGATTATTTTCTATGTTGTCTCCCTTGGCCAGCCTTTGCTCAGTAATAAATTCAGTCAGCAAAATGCCATCTCAGAACCAGATTTGGAGCTGAGTAAGAAGGGGCAAACTGGAAGCATTCCTGGGAGAAAGGACAAAGAAGCTGCGTTCTAACTCAGTAGTTTCCTCTTGCATCCACCTTAACACCATTATCTCCCTCCCCATGTCTTCTGTGCTCAGTGATCCCTGAGTAGCCAAATCACTTTGGTTTGGAATGGGTGGATATTCTTGTGTGGACACATCTCATTTTTCTTGAGAAATATGTCAATGTCTCAGTGCTATTTAATTCATTATTCTGTTTTCCAGAGTCAGCACATGTGTAAATCAGTGTGGTCAAAGAATAGACGTAACAATAGAATGTTGAATACCTCTGTCATCAGCTCTGCCACCACAGTAAGTATAACTGAACTTCCAATGTTACTCAAATGCTGCATTAACACAGGCCATTTCATTATAGAAAGGGACAGATGTTGACATATCCACAGAGGAGAGGATCAAGTCTGGATGAAGATCTTGCTTTGCAAATCATTCAAATAGGAGGCAAGGTGGAACTGTACTACCATTGAGGCCAAGCATTTTCAAATCACTGCAGATGCATATATAACACAGATGGTTCCCAATTTCCTGCTCTTTCTGTACCCGGAAGCATTACAAGCTGATGTTCTAGGCATGAGAGTATTGTTGGCCACCATTTGGAAACCACAGAAGGAAATTCTACCTGAAAAATATTTGGTTTTACTGTATTTATCTTTTACCCTCCTACATCAGAGACAATTGAATATCTATACTACCTTATCACATGAGATGCCACAAAAAGTTGAAAGAGTTTGCATAGCTCATGGCTGAATGCAGATGTGATCAGTGTGTTTTCTTGAAGTTACTTCTTGTTAAATCACTTCATGTCTAACAATGTATTTCTAAAACAAAGCAAGCATTTTAGTGCGTCTTAACAGCATTGCAAAATTTATGCAGAGATCTTGGTCATATATGTTCACTACTGTGCATTTGAGTCAGACTAAGCAGTATGCCCAGGAGATAATGGCCTTCAAAACTGAGCATATAAATCCTTAGTGGTCTGCTCAGTACTTGTCACACCTTTGCCAGGAATTGATGTTTCTTTAATAAAGTGAGTCCATGGACTGGTCTTGAATATCAAATATAGTAATGGTTTTAAATCTCCTGAGTCTGCCATCTGAATTAGTCCAGTTAGTAATTACATTTCCCATTCCCCTTTAAAAATGTCTAAAAGAAGGTTTCTGCTGCAGTTAGCGGGATCTCCTGTAATTGCTAGTCTTGTGCCTATGGAAAGATGGATAGAGGACACAAGGCAGACCTATGGTCTCCAGGCCCATGTGCTGTCCTCTTGGCCATGTGCAGCACCATGCAGAAACATCAACAACATCTGTGTGTGTTGTCAGAGGTATGTCCTAAACTGAACACGCAATGGTGTTCCTGAAAAAACACCAAGTGCTTGGCTTTGAATTTTGCTAGGAGTAATGAACTGGAAAGCATAGGCAAGGCTGCTGGAACTTCTTGGTTTCTGTGGTGAAAGCACATGCCACTGCCTTATGGGACTGACTGGGTGCTTGTCCTCCTCTCGATTTTATGTGAGATTTTGACAAAGGGAATTGAAAAAGTAAAGCTTTCTTAGTGGCATACTTCAGTGGGATAAATATGAGAAGAAAATTAACTACAGTTTAAAGAACCGTCAGCATCTTTAAAGAGCTTGTCTAGGATGTTTTAAGAAAAATCTAATGGTTTAAGAAGTCATATAGGAATAATTTAAAAATGAATGTTTAGCTTGAGGAAAAATAGTGAAAGAAAAAGAAAGGGAGAATTTAAATTTGCTAAAACTAAAATATAGGAAGTCTTGAAAAAGTAAATGTTCATTCTTTATCAAAATTTAATCTCAATTTTAATCTTTTGGCCGTCAGTTTAAAGTACCATGCGGTCTTCTGAATGTAAAACTGCCTCCTGCTGCAGAGGTCTTCAGAATTGTAATGTGCAGTCCATCTATATTCGTGTGCCACAAGCTGTCAAAATACTGATGAGGGATACTGACCCTGAGATCCCTGATTGGAAAAAAATGTTACCACTGAATGACTGTGCTATAAATAGTTAAAGCTGACTATATTTCTGCAGGGAGGCTCTTGCTGGCTCTCTGAGAGCTGCCTTTGAACAACGTTTCACACAAGGCACTCTTCTGCTCCTGTGCCAAGAAGCAAGGAGCCTGGGGGCCTCTGAGGGCCACCAGAAGAAGTTGCCACCGGGTGTAGTGGAAAATGTCTTGGTTGCTATTACTGGAGAGAATTTATTACCCAATAATAAGCAGCTATTCACAGCTATTCCAAAGAAAGTTGCCTATAGTGTTGTCAGAAAGTCACTACTATTGTTTTCCCAGGTGTTTTACAAAGTTAAGGGTTTAATAAACAAGCTGCCATGAGATTTAGTTTCTTTTAAGGGAAACTCATTTGTTACAGGCATGCTTTTTAATGGTGTGCATTAAATTAAAAAAAATCCAGAAATAACACCAAACTATTAAGTGTATGACTGCCAAAGCCCAGAACAATTGCTGTCAACTTAAGTTAATTTCTGTTGTACTTCCCCTCCTCCCATTTCAACGCTACATAAATCCAGAGTGGGATCTAACATGGGATGAGGCACACACAGTTCTTACGTGCTCTAAACTTGTGTTATTTGTCTTTCTGGGAGTAAAGTTGTTTCTGTCTTGAGTGTTGAGGAAAAGAGTTTCTCCTGCTGCTGAGTTCATGCCCTTTATATATCCCATGCAACACAGTTAGAATTTTACACAGATAGAAATGGGGGACCCTAGACACTTTGGGTAGATATGTGAGACACCGGATCAGGACTCAAATAACCCTGTTAAGATCTGAGCTTTATTGCAGTCTTTATTTGCTACGCTGGGCAAGGCACTGAGTGTGCTTCTATCTGGAGGCATAGTTGCAGCTTGAGTTTACTTACATGGTTAACTCTAAACTAGCTCAAGCAGTTATAGCTGTTGAGAATGGTAGCATAGACTTCAGTGCACCGGCAAGACCCCTTAGGGTCTGTGGACAGATGGTCAGCGAGTAATGTGTAATTTAAGTACACCACAAACCATGCAACCTAGTTTAAAGTTCTGGTGCAGTTCTAATTAGAAGAGGCAGTGGATTCCACCATTTGTTGCTGCAGTTCCCAATTGTGTTAGGGAAACATAAATATTATTCTTGCCCAAGCTTTTGTCTGTCTTGTCTACTTAAATGGTGACCTCTTCATATAGAGCAAATAAGGCTTGCGTTTTCATTGTGATTTGGAACACATTGAAGTTATGGAGTCATCTCTTGTCTGTATCTGAGAGTATATTGTTTCATGAGTCTGCTGCATGAAGCTTTCAGTAGGATAAATGACTGAACACCCTTCTGCAGGGAAATTGCAAGGAAAAACCATCCTCATATTTCTCAGGATCACCAGGTAGGAAATTGTGGCTTACAATTGTAAGAGTTACAACTCTTGCCTAAATGACATTGAGTTCAACGAACCAGATGAAGTCTGATTTTTAAGCCTTTGGCTGTAAGTGGAAAGCTCTGTGCCATCATAGTCAATGCCTTTTCAATGTGGAGTGCTGTAACCCAGAAAATCAGTGGTGGAATTCTGTAGCAGTCAAGGTAAATTCTCTTGCAAAACTCTTAGCTTGCAAGTGCAAGGGTAAGCTCTATGTTATGGGGGGATATACTGCTACACTGCACAGGACTGAAATATGGACATTTTGCAGTACTGCCTCACTTCTGATTCCTGGACCAAATTTGAATACTGTGGTGTTCATGGTTGCAAACTGCAGATACCCTCTGACAAAATATGTCTGGCAGGGTGTTGTACTTGGACCAAAGTGAAATTCCAACAAAAGTGATATTTTTTCTGTGCTCTTTGCTGTTCTTTGTATAGCTCTAAAATAGTGCTTTGAACTTTAGGAAGTGCATACAGACAGTCATTTAATATGGGAAAGACTGCTGCTTTGTTTTTATTTGTTCTAGGAAAACTTGTTGTTGGTATTTGCATAAAACAACCCTCCCCTCCATCAGCTGCCAGTGACCATGGCTTTCTTTTCTAAACCTCTCTACTAAGGTAACCTTACCAGAACAGGAGCCTTTCCAGGTAGCTCAGTTAAGGTGACTATCAAATCGTGTATGGAAGGTTCCTTTTGTCTGGGCAATGCCCTCTTATCAACAGCGGTGCAACAAGTGACAGAATTTGAAAGGCTGTTCTTGCAGGATTCTAAATATGAATGAAAGTAGTGGTGCCTCTTCATTTTCTTTTCTTTTTAGCTGCAGTTCAATGGAGATCTTAAGGAAAAACAGCAAGGTGATGACATGACTAAAAGCTCTGAAGACTTGGAGCTTGACCAGTTCTGCTGGAATTTGTTTTTTTAGGATTTCTGGAGGGCGCTTTTGAAGGAAGAGAAATTTTATAGCAGTTATGTATACATATGGAGAGAATAGGTAGATACAATTCTTCACGATGCTGTTTTCTTTCCGTTAAACCCTCCTTCAAGAATCCATTCTCTTATCACTCCACATGAATTCCCCCATCTCATCCTTTGACTGCAGAAGCTTACCTTAGATGTTATCTTCTAAATATTTGTTGCTGTCATCTCATTTTATATTGCCTTCTCAAGAAGGAAAAAACAGTGCTATCTCTTCCAAGTCCTTATTTTATTAAAAGCCTGAACATCCATTTTTTTACTTTCCTCTACTACTCTCACATTACACAAAACCCTCATCGTTTCTGAGGAGGACTCTTGCAGCTCTCCACCTTCATCTCTTTCCTACTTGGTAGCTTGATTTTCCTACCCAAAGGAAGAAAATGGAAGCATTGGCTGCATTTTACAGTGAAAAACTGGCTTACACAATTAACAGTTTTAATTAGAAGTTGTATATTTAAAATAAAAAATGTGTGCTGTTCTGAATAGATCCCAGTTGCATACCAGTTCAGGTTATCTTTATATATTGTTAATTCCAATGGAAAAATGAAGTAAAATGTTTCCATTTCAACTATTTATGAGAAGAAGCATTCAAAATCATAAGTGGGATAAATCCTGTGATACAGTTAAATGTGCTGTTCAGTAGCTTATCATGTTGTAACTGTGCCATTGCGAACGGTTCCTATAGCTAGCAATAGAAATCTGTGTGGGCCAAAGGTTATGGTAGATGGACAGTGACAAAAGATCTGACTTTACAACTGATCATTTGTGTTGCAAATGACTTGGAACAGTCTCAGATTTGGACAGGCATAGGTCAGACTGAAGGAGCCAGTGTCCACCCATGGCTGCACTTTTTGTTGAAAGGACTGGAGTGCACATAGATTTAATAAAATGTTTCTGCACTGCAAAGCAATGAAAAATTTGCCAGGTACAACACATATCGGCTTTATGCAAAAGCTCAAGCCCTTGAATAGATTTAGGATTTGTGGGTATCTAAAGTCAGCACAGCTGCTTGTGTCAGCATCAGCCTTGGCTTGCTCGCTGTTGTTGCTCTGTAAATGCAGTATACTGGGTGTTCATTTTACACAGAGATGATGTTTAGGAAAGGGGTGTCTTTTTTCACAAAAATTATAAGGGATTTATATATCAGCATTTAAACTGCAGAGTAACCAAAGCCATGTCTTGCAGGAAAGACAAAACAATACATTTTTTTATTTTGGATTATAGAAGAGTGAGATAAAGCTCTGGATTTGTTATCTCCAGAGATGTATGAATTTTTTGTTTGCTTTATGCTATCACTTTGTATTGAATTGTTACTGCTACTGTAACTTGGTTTGCGCTGACAGGTTCAGTAACACCATATTATGTCAATTCTTAGACAGCATACTTTAAATGAAATTCTGTAACAAGAGAGCTTACTCTATGGCCAGTCCTTGTAAGTGCATACTTTTTTTTTATTTTAAATTCTGAATAGTTCAGGGGAAATTTCTCACTGTGTGGTACTGCTACCCAGATGCATGCCCCATCCCTGGAGGTGCCCAAGGCCAGGTTGGATGGGGCCCTGGGTGTCCTGATCTGATGGGTGACAATCCCGCGCACGGTTGGGGGTTGGAACTATGTGGTCTTTGATCTCCCTTCCAATCCAAGCCATTCCATGATTTTGTGACTCCAGAAATGAGAAAATTACATGGTAATATGTTAGTGCTGCTGGAAACAGGCATGAGGATTGCTCACTGGGAATGTGAGAACTTTCTTCAGATGATGTTCATACTCACTCTCTACTTTCTCAACTACTTAATAGGATGTCCTTATTACTCTTAACTGCTCATTAAGTTTCTTATTCTTTTTCAAAGTAGACAGAATGAATGCTTGTTAGGGGACATCCATCATGTTGAATGTTTTTTCCTCAGAGCTTAAGACATCTGAATTAAACTTATTACACAAATCTATAGAACCGTTAGAAGAGGAAGACTTTGGTCTAATGCCTTGACTCTTCTAAAAATATTGAAACAAATTAGTTGTAGAATTTAATTTTTGTGGTCATCTCAGTAGCTTTGAATTTTGGTTGTTCATGCTTGCAGGTAGAAGTCTGAAGCCAGACTTGTTTATCTATTCTGAAACTCAACATAGAGTACTGAATTTAAAAAATAAATAAATAAATAAATCTAAAGGTAGAAGGAAATATTTTACATCCAGGTTTTGTCAAAACATGAAAAACTTCAAAGAAATTTTAAAGAAAACATTGTCCCGGAAAAATTGCTGCTTACTGCTGTTATTTATTAAGCATCTCTGTTCTTAAGCACAGTGTTGTTATGCAGTTGCTTTTAAAACTAAAAGATGCTGTTACTTTAGAGGAAGGCTTTCTACTAAGCTAGAAAGCAGAAAGAAAGCTTTTGGAAATTTCATTGTCTCCTCCACAGGTTATGACTCAAACTAATGGATTTTACTCTCCAGTGAGAAGACTGAGCATTCACATTGAAGAAGCAGCCTTCTGCTATGGAGCCAGTAATTCACAGGTAAGCAGAATAACGTCATATGTTGTTCCAAGTCATGTCACAGGTCTCCTAGTCTGCCTAATATCTTGTTGACTCAATTTGCAGGGGAAAATCAAGTCTGACTATTGTATTTTAGGACATTCAAATATTTATGTATACATATATATAGTAAAAAAGATGTTAATAAGGCTGGTTGTCTTATTATACTTCATGATGTGTGCCAGTGGGTGTTTTGAACAAACAAATTGAGATTCATCCAAAAATGAAAAATAAAGGAAAAATCCTCTCTTGTAAAGCACTGCTTTACATTGCACATTACTGAATATACATGCAGTTTGCTCAAATGAGTTAACACAGGAAAAATTAACACTTACAGTGCAAGGAAATGCCACTGTTCTGTAAAAATCATTACTTTAGCTGCAAGATCGCAGATTGTCTGGGAAAATGAAAGAATTGGAATTAAATGCTTATTACTAACATTTACCCTATCATGCACCAACCTTAATGTTTATTCTCCGAGGACTTTTTATTCTTCAAGTGTGTGACCAAAGTCACTTATTTACAAGCTCCTGTTGAATTTAAATGATTGGCCATGTGTATGACAAGCCTGCAGCAAATGTGAGATAATATAACTATGGAGAATGGAGAGAGTTGCATCATCCTATGTTGGCTGGGGATCAGGAGTATCTGTGTACGTTGTTAGCACAGTTCTGCTGATGTGCAGTAACTTCCCAAATCCTCCCAACTTGATTGTTTGCTTGATTTGGCTGCTGATGAATTACTTCTTTTGTGTTTGTTTTTCAGAAGTTTAGGAAGAGAAATGGTACATTTTTAAACTGTGTGTGTGTGTGTGTGTGTGTGTGTGTGTATATATGCCTGTAAATATATGGCATAACTACATAGGTTGCTCCAAAAGTAGTGCCTTCTATTTATTTCCATGGAAAGCACAACAACTACAAAAAGCTCAGTAACAGTACTTGACAGAACAAATTCTTAGCCATGAAACAGTATTTTTCAGCATAGTCACCACCATTAGTTATGCATTTTCGACAGCGATGAACAAGAACCTGCATGTCCAGCTCATAAAACTCTATACCAACAGAGATGACCCACTGCTGAAATGCACCACCCACCACCTCACTGTGTTCAAATCCACTTCTTGATCTTCATAAATGTTCGAGTGTGAATGGGTGCCACTTTTTCCAGATAGAAACACCTTATCTTTGACACACTTGTCAGCTGTCAATTTGCCAGTCTGCCCCTCTGCTGCCATCTGTTGTACTGCAACAAAGTGCAATAGAATATTGGTAGGAACGATCAACCTTTACTGTCGTATCACCAACATCCACCTCTGATGTTGTGAGCCAACATAACAAAATAGGAGGCATTACTCTGGGAGCAGACCTTGATTATTAACCTTAATCTGTCTTTAAAGTCTAAGTTTATAGTTGTATATACATTTTTCTACGGTAAACAAAAAAAAAGAAATTGTTCATTTTCTTTAAAAAACAACACAACAATATAATAGTCTTTTACTACCTGAACAGAACTGGACAAACAGCTGCTGGAAAGCAGATACAGCAAATATCGAATCCTTCATTTATATTTCTTCCTAAATCCCATCCTGTACCTTTCACAGGAAACAATCCTGCCATAGTGTTTGAAGGGCACCCATGTCCCATGAGCAGCAGAATTAATACTGCTTCTCTGCATAGTTGCTCTGATAAGGCACCTAATGAAGCAACTCATAAAAAATGCTCTGTACTTTCACCATGGAGCTCAGCCAGAGTTTCTATCCTATATAGCTATTAAATATATCTTTTTTTTTATATATGAGGTATTTACAGTTTTGTCATGACTAAATGTTTGCAGTCTTAACGCAACCCACACTCTTCTATGTGGCTGTTCAGATCTAAAATTTCAAAGGTTTGCAAGATCTCCTTGTGCTTTATTGGATATAAGCAACGTTCAGTTTAGTTAACATCAGTGAAAGTGTGCTGCAGATACGTTTCCTCTGCTTCTGGCTTTCTTGAGGTTCTTAGTTTCAAGATGTTAAGATTTCCAAAATAAGTTCTTGTTTTTGTGTGGTTTTTTTTTTTTTTTTTTAATACAAGGTGAGAAGCCTCTTCCTGGTTTTTTTTGCTAGAGAGGAATTGTTTCAGCTGGAATGTTCATCATCTTGGTGAGAAAGTAATGAGGAAGAGGTTGCTGTGATTGACTGAAAATGCAAAATAGACAAGACTGTATGAAGAAATAAACTAGTGCTTCACATAATGGTGTCATACAATTACCACGTCCCTTATACCACAGTTACCACAAACTTCTTGATTTTAAGATATATTTTCTTCCTTTTGTAGCACCATTTAGAAAAGGCAAAAAAGAAAACAATTCTTGGGCCTGTTAAAGCATCTGAAGATCTTTTATTATACAGCAGAGAGAGCATTAATCAAGACAGAGGGCTTAGTGCTCTTGATTCTAGAGAGAGTAGGTGCCAGGCCAAATCTCATCGTAATTAAAACCAGTTTGAGAGCTGTTTCCAATTGCAGCAGCTGGTGTTGGACTATGTTCCTCTCCCTGCCCACATCCCCTCCTGGTCACAGAGGAGTGGGGATGTCACTGGAGCATCTCCACACAGACCCCAAACTGCTTCTGTGCTGGTGGCCCTCACATGGTATGGGAGGAAACGCTCTCCTGTAGGTGACGGTTGGGGTGCATAGTTGCAATCCTGAGTTGCAACTGAAAGGTTACTGAGGAGGCAAGTGCTCCAGTTTCCCAACAGCAGCCTTAAAAGGCTGTAGGGTACATTTTCAAAGCACTGTGCAGTATTTCAGCTATGTGACTCATTAATGTCAATGGGAATCATGTTGTTAAAATTTTGTGCAGTGCTTTGAAAACATGTCACTATCTGCCAATTCTCTTTTCTGAGTAAAATTATCAAAAACAGGCCTTGTGAGCCTTTTTTATTTTTTTTCCCCAAAGAAAGTTTTCAGCATTATAAATCAATGGTTTAGCAGCTTGATCTGGGCTTGTTCCTTCTTCCTCCCCTCCACACTTTCCATTTTTATCATTGACTTTGATTTTGTGCAGAGTGGTGATAACGTATAGCTTTTCCAGACATTGCCTGAAAAAGGGTGCTGGAGTCTCAGATTGAACTGGAAATTGTGCAAAAAGCAACAGTGGTGATATAGAGCTATAACAATATTTGTTGCGTTGTTCAGGCTGTCAGGCAGAATCAGTGAGGTGAAAGAATCTTAGTTGTTTTTTTTTTTTTAAAGTCTGTTTTAATTAGCATGTTGGAATCTCTTAGTTTAAAAAAAAAAAAAGTAGTTTGAAGTATTTGCATTTATGTTTTCAGGGTAACCCTGGGATCTGCTAAGTACAAAATATCAATTATCAAGAACATGTGTTAAGGAAAAAACAACAACAACAAAAAAAAACACTAAAATGATGAGATCTCTCATTTTCCAGGAAGAATTATGCTTCCCTTGGTTCCACTGAGTACTGTGGGAATTACGCTGAAATGCTGGTAAGCTCTGAAGTACAACAGAGGAGTGAATTGTGTGCTCCTACTAGCTGCATTTCACATTTGTTCAGCACACATTTCTTTGCTTTTCATTCTTCCTGCACAAGCAAGAGACATCTCCAATATGCAGTTCATTACTTGCTCAGTGAAGAGTTGCATCATTTCTATAAGCTCCAAAGCTTTTCACCTTTAGACCAGGAGTTCATGTCTGTCCTTGGAACCGTATCTTAATTTGAATTAATCCCTGGAATAAAATGATTGCTGTCTGTATGGACAGCATATCATATGCTTCTGCAGCTCCATTTCTTAGTCGGCAGCTGTTCCGTTCAATAATCATGTTTTTACAAGTCTCAGCAAAGATAGAGGACTGGAATTACACCCTCTTTCTTTCTTGGAAGTCAATGTTGTGGAACTGTTTTGAGATAGCGCTGTTAAGAAGGTTTGTCTGCTGCTGCTTTGTATGTGGCAACTAGTAGGCAGTCAGAGCAGGATAATCTGAGCTGAAAATAGAAGAAATCTGTCTTTCAATTGGGAAATAAGGAAATAAGGGAATGCCACGTTTCTTCCACTGGTTAGATAAAGGTAAGTGGAAGTACTCTTTAAGAGGGTAAACAAAATGCGCCCATCTGCTTAGTTCCCTCAACCCGCTTAGTTCTGTCTTCATTCTTCCTTTCCAGGAATAAGCTCATGTTTTTGTGCAGTTTGCAATGTCCTTAATGTTCCTTAACCTCCTGACAATATTGGGTTTTAGTTTATGCAATGTCCTAACTTAAAAGAGTAGAATCATTTTATTTAACAATGTTTTTATGTAACGATGTCCTTCTGTGTTCCACTATTTATACAGGTTAAAACATACTCCCTCTTATGACTTCACAGAAGATGGCATTGTGCCACTGAAAAGGGGATATCTGGATTATAACACCAACTACAAGGATGCCACAAAAATTAGTTTGGGAGAGATGAGTTCCAGTACATTTTCCATTAGTTGCATTTCCTCCTATGTCATTTCTAACATTTTTTCCTGTGTGCTGTGGGAATTAGAGCTGTTCTGTTATGGCAGCAGTCTAAGAAAATTGCTACAGAGGAATGTCTGATTCTGCCTAAGAATATCCTGTCCTGTTCCAGAGACAAACTGGCATCCAGAAGTATTTAAATATGACACCCTGAAGTGTTCAGGAAAGTCTAGCTTCTGAATTCTATTGCAGCATCATATTGGTTTGCAGAAAGACAATAGTTATGGAGTGAGTCAGGGAATATAACGTTGTCTGTGAAAATTAGGAACTCTGTTCTATAGCTAGTTGTCTTCCAAAGTAAAATGCTTGGGAAAAATCTGAGTTAGAAGAGTTTTATCTAATATAAGGTATGGTCAGCAGCAATTATTCCAATGTAAACTGAAAAAGAGAAAGTGAGAGTAGGTTGAGAAGGTTGGTGCACCTTCTTCAAATAGTCTAGAGATCTAGCATGAGCAGCACTATGAAAACAACAAAGAAGGGCTTTTATGCCTTTTTCCTTTTGTTATCTTGATTGTCATTAGGAAGATAATAGCTTTTATTTCCATGATAATTATTCTCTGCAAAGCTCAAAGCACTCTAGAGAGTTGGTTGAGATCTGTGGGTTCTTTATTCAGGTGGAAAAACTGACACACAGAGAGGTCTGTCTTCAACACAGTGCCCTGACTTCCTGCTTTTCCCTGGTGCTCTCATTAGCATCCTCCTTCTTACCCTACCTGTACTCACAGGGCTTCTGTTTTGTTCTCTGCAGAACACTAAAAGCTCCCATAGAGGAATTTTAAAAATCCTTTGTGTTTGGATACTGTGGTGATGAATGGGATATAAAACTTTAGTGGGAGAAACTAAGGGAGTGGGAGTTTCTAGAAGTTAGTGGCGTGGTTGTTGTGGTGGTTGTTTTTCTTTGCTTTTAACGTGCCAATAAACTGAAATACACTTCTATTCACAAGGATGGTAAAGTCACTATCCTACACTGAGTTGATGTACTGTGAATCTCTTTATAGTCATTACCATTATGATTAATTGATCTTGCTGGAATATTTTCCATACTGAGACTAGGGGAATTCTATTTTAATCACAATGGAGCTGGTTTCAACTATATGCCTTTAGCAGAAACAGGATAGAGAAGCTCTAGAAATGACAATGAAATACATATTTGGAAATTTTAGAAACAATTTTAAAATGTGAATGCTGTTTTCCTAGTAGATTTTCAGTTTCTCACCAATGGGACCTGTTGCCTCATTGCCTCCTTTTCCAGTGATGGAGGATTTCAGTCTCCAACACTCACAAAAGCAAAATCTCTGAATCTTTAATTAAATCCTAGGCAAACCATATTTTTTCTAATTAAGCCCAGTTAGTAGAACCAACAGAACACATATTTGCCTTAGTCTTTCTACAGGTCAGTGGCTCTCTGCTTCTCGTATACTCTTCCTCTGACAGAGCAGTGAAGTATGTAACTTCTGTTATTTCTGCTGTTCAGGTAAATTAAGATTATATTTTGAGTTTCTTCATTTTTCTGTCTGGTGAAGGAAAGCCAATGTCTTTTGTTTGTCTTCTGGGTTTAAAGACTTCTTTCCTGCGATCCTCTGTACACGCACTGACAACTCTTCTCGGATGGTTATACTGCTTTCCCTTGGAGCTGGGTTTGTCACAATTAGATTGCTCCTCATGATGTATGATTAGGCTAATACAAAAACTGAGCACAAGAGCTGAGAATCCCCACAGCCCAGCTTTATGTTGTATCATACCTGTACAAGTCATTAATCATTCAGAAGCCTCAGAGTTATCTCTGTATCTTCATCAACGACTTGCATGAAGGGATAGAGTCCACCCTCAGCAAGTTTGCTGATGATACAATGCTGGGAAGAGTGGCTGATACCCTGGAAGGCTATGCTGCCGTTCAGTGAAACCTGGACAGGCTGAAGAGTTGTATGGAAAGGAACCAGGTGAGTTTGAACAAGAACAAGTGTATAGTTCTGGGGAGGAATAGCCACCTGCATCAGTACAGATTAGGAGGTGACCTGCTGGAGCGGAACTCTGCAGGGGAGGACCTACATGTCCTGGTGGATAACAGATTGGCCATAAGCTGGTAGTGTGTCCTTATGGCCCAGAAGGCTGATGGTATCCTGGAGTACGTCAAAAGATGGGTGGCCTGTAGGTTGAGGGAGGTTCTCCTCCCTCTCTGCTCTGCCCTGAAGAGTCCACATATGGAGTACTGCATCCAGTTCTGTGCTCCCCATTCAAGAAAATGGAACATCTGGAGAGCATCCAGTGGAGGGCTACCAAGATGGTCAGGGGTATGGAGAATCTTCCTTGTGAGGGAAGGCTGAGAGACCTGGGACTGTTCTGCCTGGAGGAGGCTGAAAGGGGATTTTATCAATGCTTATAGATATCTAAAGCATGAGAGTCAGGTCACTGGGGGCAGGCTTTTTTCAGTGGTGGTCAGCAACAGAACAAGGGGCAACAGGCATAAACTGAAACAGAAGAAGTTCCATACAAGAAGGAGGAAGAACTTCATTCCTATGAAAGTGGCAGAGCACTGGAACAGGCTGTGCATGGAGGTTATGGAGTTTTCTCTGGAGATATTCAAAATCCATCCGGACGCAGTCTACTGCACTCTATAATTCTGTGATTCTGAGTGTTTCTGTGAGGAATGACTATACTGCTATATACCTATATACTGCTATATACTATATACTATAGTGGAAGTGGAGCAAGTTAAACAGGAGATGCCAACTGAGCTTCCAGTTTGATCAGAAGCATAACTGAACCAGACATTGGAGCAGCAGGGGCAAAGACTGACACAAAACTGTTCAGTGACAACCCGTGAATTCTGTATTCTGTAATCAAGAAAGTTGTATTTGGTAATGAGTTTAGTCAACTTTTTTGTAGAGAAAATAATGAAAAGGGAAAATTAGCTCAAAACCAGTCACCTCTTTGGTAAATTCAATTTAACCTCATTTAATGGGTGACCTAGGGAGGCAGGGAGAGC